TTCACAATAATGGCCATTACCGTTCTATAAGGACATTATGGCCTTTTTTTTTCCCATCATGACTTGCTGTTAACTACACTATAACACCGAATAATGGCAATGGGGTTCTCTGTTTCCTTATGACTGTTATGTTTCCTCATGGCTGTAATTTAAAACTATGCAAGATATAGTAAGGATGCCTGTATTGTTCCAGGTTAGGTCTGAAATAATTCTGCATAGATGATATTCTGCTCTGTTTTTCTTATCTTATTCAAAATAAACATGATCAATGTATGATTTTCGAACAACACTGATTTTTCCTCGTACTAAACTGTGACAATTGAAGCATATTCTGAATTTGTGCATTGGAAGCAATCTGATATATTCTTTGGATTACTGGTTCAGAAAGTAGCATCTTATTCACAGCAAACATGATTCATGCATTAATTTCACTCTATAATGATTTTTCCTTTCATTAAATTGCAAAGTAGCACATCTTTTGTTTATGCTTGGAAACAATCAGATAGTGGTTCAGATACTAATATCAGGACATACAATAATTTGGCGATTGGTAACTTAAGGATGAAAAAAATAATCTTAAGGTCCTTTTCTTCCAATCATATCTTCATTATTAACTTCCGTTGATTGTACCTTGCGATGCAGAGGAGCCATGTCATAGGTTGCATGGAGACCGAAGAAGACATAGTAAATGAGCATTAGCACCGTGCAAATACCAAATCTTTCAAAAGCCTCAGCACCCAAAGATCCCATTAGAAAGATGTTAATTGCAATTGACAAGGATGGAAGCCATGGAACCAGTGGAACGCCCCAAACCTTTGGCTCTCTCTGTTGAGGTAACATCGATAATCCAATAGTCCCCAAGAACCAAAAAGGAATGGTTACAGCATATCCAACCCAACCATTGGGATTCCATCCCCAGTAAGCTGAAGTCCCCATGGACGAAGCAATAATGATTAGCAGGAAGAGGACTAGCTTCAAGAGGTTTGTTTGTGGTGTGATTTCTCTGACATGGTATCTCCTCACAAGTAATGCGACAGCCATCATCATGAAGATAAATAGGGTGCTTACTGACAGCAAGCTTGCCAAGACATCTAGGCTTGAGAAAAAAGCAATGAGAGCACTTGAAATGGTGATCAGAAGTGTTGCATTTATTGGTGTTCCAGTCTTAGGATGGACAAGAGCAAACCATGGAGGGATCATGTGGGCTCGTGCAATATGAGTAGTATATCGTGCTTGTCCAAGTGCCCCTACCAAAAGAACGGTGGTCATCCCCTTGAGAGCACCAAGTGCTACCAGGTACCTTGCCCAATTCATTCCCACACTCTGAAATGCGACAGAGTAAGCTGCTCCTTTGTCAATCTCTGTGTATTTTTGCATCATAGATAGGGTAAGTGCCATTAAGCAGTATATCACGGTAATGATTGACATTGATCCAAGCAATCCTATCGGTATGTCTCTAGATGGGTTTTTTGTTTCTTCCGCCATGGTGGCTATATTGTCAAAGCCTCCGTAAGCAAAGTAGACAATTGCAGCTGCTTGGAAGATCCCTTTTGCCCCAAAAGGCAAAAATGGTTTCAGATTGGATGTATTGGCATGAGCAAACCCTGCAATTATCACAAACAAAATTACAGCAGTATTGAGTGCTGTGGCTATCCAATTGATCAGTGAAGTTTTCCTTGTGCTGATAATTGCAATTGTTGCGGCAATTACCAACACTCCAACAGCTATTGGATCCAGGAGATTGAAACCTTCAGCTAGATTTGTATGGATCCGTAAAGAGTTTGAAGGACGATTAAGAAGATTTGTGAAGTAAGAAGTCCATGCCCTGGCAACTGCAGCACTGCCCGCGATGCTTTCAAGCAGTATGTTCCCTGCAGTTATGAAAACCACATAGTCTCCTAATTCAATTCTCAAGTAAGCAAATGACCCACCCGCTACAGGGACTTCGACTGCGAATTCCGTGTAACAGAATACAGAGAGCATTGCTGACACTCCAGAAGCAACATAGGACAACACAATGGCAGGTCCAGCATGTTCATGGGCTTCTTGACCAGTGAGTACAAAGATGCCTGCTCCAACGACCGAACCAAATCCAAACCAGGTAAGGTCCCACCAAGTGAGGCAACGTTTCATCTCGTTCTCACTTTGTTTCCGAAGCTCCCCAATCTCATTGACATCATCTGACCGGCTGATGAGACGGTCCTTGAACCGGAAACATGTCTCTGACAATGCGGAACGGTAGTTTCCCCAGCTTTGGAAGGACTCCTCTGGTAAGAAATCTTGTTTGCT